AGAGCCAGGAGCTTCATAGATCTTCCTATTGTTGAATTTGCGAGGCTCACAAAGCTCTCATCAACCTCCCACATCATCGGGTTTCCGTGTAGGAATACCTCACAGGACTGCGGGGAGGATTATGTGCTTCGTCAGCACTGATGCCTGTGTTTCAGTCTCAGCCGACTGCTGCAAACGAGATGTCTGCAGATGACGCAACCTCGAGCAGTTACCACGGAACGCAGGCAGGCTAAGAAACACGCGTTGACGCGGAGGCTGGACTCAAGCTCACACTTGTGATGTACTGACTGCGAGAGACCGGGACCACCACTCCAAAAGCAGCTCGATGCGACGAAGGAGCACGCTCTTCACCTCATGTTGTGATCCCTTTCAGTGTTGAAGTGCTCGATCGACATGGCACAGGCTAAATTAAGGATCACAAACATGCGGGGATCTCTCAACTTGCCCTTGCAGTCCCGGGCCCCGCATCTGTGCACTTGGAAGCATGACGCCACTGCACTGGTCTGCAGATGGCAGTGTGGGCACCCGGCAGATGTTGGTGCAGCAATCACTGGCGCCTCGAATGAAGAGGAAGTTATGCTTGCTATGGTAGGATGGAAACATTACCTACGAACAGTAGCATGCGACTTACGTGCGCAAGTGGTTTTCCCAACGCGAGCATCACGTGGTGAAAGAGGGAGCGGTTCTGGCTTTTGTCCAAGGTTTTCTCAAAATCAAAGTGCATCGATGAGATGTTAGACGACTGTCTGTCGAATCTCTTTCGTCCCGATTGCTGTGCTTACTTCGTTTCTGGGTCGAAGGAGTATTTCCAGAACACATGGCTTCGGCGCTCTCACCGCAAGCAGTTCGACACACGATTGAGTTGTCAGCACACTGTGTTTGCCCTGGCTCTGATCTGCATAGGCCTCGTCCATGACCGAGTATGACAAAGACCACACACGGCAAGCACCGAGCCCTGCACCCGTCCCTTCCGTGCAGCGTTGAGCTTTGCAAGCAAGTTCGGGGTCGCGACCACCTTCTCTTACAGCGGATGCTGACGTCCCAGACATCCAAGGGTTCGATTTCAGAGCGATTTGGCAAGGTTAAGGCTTCTGATCGGGGAGCACAGCATTGACCCTGATTTTCATGGCCTGAAAGGAGCGGGGTTGTGCTGCATGCTGCCGCTCGGAGGCCTGGCGATGGAAGTCGAAAGTCAGCACAGGCCTGGCGATGCGGCGAACTCATATGTCATATCAGGAAAGTGAGGGTCCAGGTTTCCGCAATAAGCCAGCGAGGACCGAAGTTCTGCGACTTACTCGAAAACCTCCTAGGTTGCAGTGGGACCCAAGAGATGCAGGACAGAAGGCCTTGGCAGCACTGGGGACGAAAATCGTTCTGCGAGAACTGCACGAGACCTCAAGGCCGACCCCAGGTGCCAGCATGTTTTATTTGCATTAGCCACGGTCCAGCGACAAGCCTCTCCATCCAGAATACCTCGCGATTCTTCCTGTTGTGTACGACACTAACCACTAGTCCGTCTCGCTCTCGCTCAAGCGTGCGCTCTCTCTCTCTCTCTCTCTCTCTCTCTCTCTCTCTCTTAACCTTATTCCCCGTGTCCAGGCCTCATCCCCGCGCCCTCTATGGCCTATCCTTAGCTCCTGCGACAGCCAAGCCCTCCCAACTTGTGACTACTTGCTTTCCCAAGGGTCAGGCCTCATCAACCAGCAATGCTACATTCTCTCTCTCTCTCTCTCTCTCTCTTCGGCCAGGGTAAGGGATGGGCGAACTCATCCTTCTTCCGCAGGGCATGGGGGGTGTACGAGACCCCCTGGCCACATGGGCCCCCCATGTGTTATGGGGCTGTTTGCAGGGGGTGTGAGTTCTCATCCTCTCTCTCTCTCTCTCTTTCTTTCGCCAGGGCCAGGGCTATGGTGTAGGGGTTTTACCCCCTACACCGCGCGCGTCTGTGCCCCCGACTGTTGCGGGACGAATATGTGCCATGCAAGCCTTGGCACCGGATGCCTAGTGTTTACAGCATCCCTCAGCAACTCTCTCTCTCTCTCTCTCTCTCTCTCTCTCTCTCTCTCTCTCTCGATGGCCTTGTCCGAAGCAAGTAGTCACAAGTTGGGGGGCTTGGCCGCCGCAGGAGCCAAGGATAGGTCGTGGCTTGCCAGACCGATGGAAGCAACAGCCCCTGCTCTCCGCTGCTGCGGGCCCGGCATGCCCAGCAGTGCAGATGGCATACAGGCACACACCAGCCTGCCACACTGTCGGCTCGAGGGTTGGCGCTGAGCCCCTAAAGTGCTTATCTTTATGCAGCTGGAATCCGGCTCTTCAATGCTCTTCAACCAACAACCGCACGAACACAGTCTCCGGCGTCAACAAGTGGCTGGCTACGAAGCAAGCCGGCGAAGCTTCTGTCATGGTAGCTAGCACCCTGCCACGCCCTTCCACCGAGAAGGTGCCTCGTTCCGTCTGCAAGTAGAAGCACGACCAGCGGAGTTATCATGGTCGTCTTCCCTTCACCCATCAGCATCTGCTGACACCTGGGAGTGTGAAACCTGAAACTACATCCTGTAGGGAAAGACATCTACGATGATTATCTAACTCATGGCGCCCCAACACAGACGAGGACACACCCTGCTTGTGACTCGCCCTGCCTACACGGCCTACGCATAGCTCCAGGCCTCTTGCGAGGGATGTCAGAACACATGCAGAGACGGCGGTCAGGGCAGAACTTCCAGGAACACTTGCAGTAAGGCATTCAGCATCTGAGTCCAAAGTTGTGCAATCTTGATCTCATCCCAGGCATAGCGAGTTTAGAAAGGAACTCGTGCTTGTGTGCCGCACTGCAGCGGCCAAGTTGTTCACCTCCAAAGACACTAAACCTTGCCGACCTGAAAAAGTTAGGCAGTCAACCGGCTGGAAATGAAGTTGCCCAATCCTCTCTCAAAAAACTACTCGAACCATCAGTGCAACTGACACTGTGCACCAGCTCAGACTTGGCAGCTGCTGAGGCGCTGGCACAGAATGACCAGCCTGTTTTCAGCTCTTAATCGGCGAATGAATCTCCGCATATCTTGGCAAACTAATCCTACCCTGGCCCGTGGCTAGAGGTAAGTTGCAGGTTGCGGCAGGTCACTCAAAACGTACGACCCTCAGCTTTTTAAGAAGAAAATGCAGAAAAGAAGATAGAAAGCCACTAAGCCACTACCGGTCTAACCACCTGGCCGGCCTCGGCCTTTGCAGCAAAGGCGCGGATGAGCTGCACCTTCTGCAGGAGAAGCTGAAGCTACTTCTACTGCCAGAAAAACCAGGTGACAAAGACAACCAAAAAGTTTTCGATCCTGAAGGCACTGGCTCAGATTCTGACCTGCTGGCGACGTAGCATCACCTGGCTGCACAGCTCTGTCTTCACCACGAGTGGGGCTGTGGCCCATAAATATCAGAAGTGACCAGATTGCCGTTCATCAGCCTCCAACAGCCTTCAAATCTCACACCTCCTTTTGAAAGCCGAGTGGCATTACACAAGAACTCGAAGGAAAGCAGGCGGGGGTCATAGTGCAACTCAGAGCCTGAGGCTTGGCGTCTGGCTGCAGGCATAAAGACATAGCATGGCAGGATGATTTCCGACACGAGGTATAAGCGTCCTCTCACTTCCTACCCATACCCAGGCCTTTTCCCGCGCTCATGAAGTGCCTGCTTTCTCCTGGTCGCGCAGGAAGTCAAGGGTGTTAAAGAATGCAAGGCATATCGTCTCCAAAAGTCGCTGGTTTCAGGCCAGTGCGGATAACGCATCCGTGTGTACTCCACTGTCCCAATCGCAATGCAGGTCCTAGTTGCGCTGCGACCTGGCCAGGGTCAAATGCAACGTCTAAAGACCGCTCCATGCAAGTCTCTTGGTTTATCACTACACTTCGCCGGTCAATTTGCCTCAGCTGTGTGGAAACAGCATGGGTTGAAATGATTGCAGCATTGCAAGATATTGCAGCAGCCGAACTGGGAGTTCTGTGCAGCAGAATTCTCTGTACGCAAGAGTTGGTGTTGAGACGAGAAGTTCGGGGTGTTGTCGGGGACTTGGCCAAGTCCTAGTCCTAGCCGGACAGTACCGAAAAGCTTAGCTACTGCTCGCTGCAGAAAGTCAAATCAAACAACATTCCCTGAAGAGGCCCTTGGCTGCAGGCCTGCGCGGACTTCTGTGGCTGATATCGCAAACCATGGTTCAGTAAACTTCACGGACCCCCGATCTTGGCAGAGCCTTGAGGAAAGGTCCACAAACGAAACAGGCCAACAGCCGTCGGCTCTACCAGTCCAGGTCCCACACAGCTTGCACACGCAAGGAGATGGCCAACTCCGGTCCTCCACGGAGGCGTTCCTGCGCACTGATCCACTGGTGTCTGCGCTCTCTGCACGGCGGGAGGCTTCGAGATGAAAGCTGATGGACTCTTGGGCCATTGTCGGGATCCGAAATCGCAGACGACATACATAAAGACGACGCAACAAGCATGTTCAGTGCACGAATGTGCAGGGCTGTCTGGAGGTTTGTCAAGTTAGCCTTCCGTGCTCGTTTTAGTGACATCGCAATCTCCGTGACACACGGGCAGCAAACGTAACTTTCAAGAACAAAACGGAAGCTTGTCTCACAACTGCTGACATGGCTAGAACAATCTTCTGGGATCTGAGGTGCAATCATCAACAGCTGTTTCGTGAGTTGCTGCCGGGACCAGGCTTATCTTCAGTGCGTGTCATGCACGCGGTGAAAGCGCAAGATTGCCGCCTGCAGATTGCCTCGATGTAGTTGCGACGCTGCATCTGGAATAGAACAATGCTTTGGCCTCTAGTGAATCCGTACCGCATTTTTGGCCCACAGCTCCCTCGCGAGCATCCTGCGGCCCAGATGTTCGATTTGAGCCCAGTCCATGCAGTCCTATCGCGTGGTCGACAGTATGTGTCACGCTGCAATCTTTTTCTCTGGCGCTTGGGGCGTGGATTGTAGCTCATCCTCTTAAGGAAGGCAGAACTCACAAGGAGATGATATTCAGGGTCTCCAGCTGGTCCCCGGGAATGGCTGAGCCATACCCCTTGCTTAAAAGATTTAGATGAGCATCCCTGGCGCCTGTTTCAGCGATCGACAGGGACCTCGGCGTCTCAGAATCCATAGTAGCGCGCGAGATCATGGTTCTGGTGGAAGGCCTCCCTGGTGCCCTGTACTTCACCTAGAGCAGTCGGAAAGATATGTCGGGATTGCTGCTTGCAGCTTTCAAGATCGAGGGGGAGTTCCGTCACATAAAGGCAAGTCCACAAAGACCGAATCCTCAAGTCCTGTTTCCTGGAGCTGATGTCGATTTTTTTGGCCTCCTGCATGGCTAGCGATTTTCACTCTATAGGGGTTGTCGGGGCGGCCATGTTTGTAGTCCGCCTGCACCGGTGTGTCCGGCAGAGAGGCCGCCGTCGGAGGCTGGTACTTCCAGAGGAACAAAAGGAGCTCCTGTGAAACAAAGTTTGCCGACTGCGTGATTTGGGGCTCACACGGCCTAGGGCCTTGAGGTGTGCAGATTGCAGATGTCCGCAACTGCTATCCGATGCATCAGAGTCGGAGTTGCGATGGTCGTAGTCGTGCGAGGTTTGTACGAGCACTGGAACTAATAGAAGCCGCAGCAGTGAATGTATTATGACTGCTCACCGTCCTGGTCGTCTAACAGCAATTACCGGAAGAGGCGATAGTGGCAGTAGCCGGAGCAGTAGCGGCAGCAGCTGCAGCAGTAGCAGTAGCAGTGGCAGTAGGAAAAGGAGTGGGGGTAGGAGAGGAGTCGGAGCAGGAGTCGGAGCAGGAGTAGTAGTAGTAGTAGTAGTAGTAGTAGTAGTAGTAGTAGTAGTAGTAGTGGTGGCCGTAGTTTTTGTCACCCACCTGGCACGCCTGTGACAGCACTGCGGGGACTACAGTTACAACAAGTCACGACGAGATCAGCTTGCCAAAACAGCGCAACACAAGCTAGGGCCACAAAGTACCAGCTGTTCTCGTCGATCAGAAATTATCAGAAGCTACGCTACAACCATTCTACCTCACTGGAACATGCAACACCAGGGTCAAGCCCCAATTCATCTTCTCTTGGCACATTGTGCCCAGACACGTGTTACGTGCGTTGTTATAGCAGACTACATTGGTCCCCAATTCAGCTGTACATCTTGAAACGAATTCTCATCTCACCACCGCTACTTGGCCAGCGTTACACACTACTTGTTGGTTTGCTCGGTTCAGGGGTCGTAAGTCCTAATTATCTCTGTGTACGGCCTCATCGCTCTCACTGTCTGTTCAGCTGTCCAGCTCTTTCCGTCGCACACCTTCATAGACGTGCAGCCGTGTCGGCGGGCACTACCCAAGGTGTGGTCCCGCCCCTTTAGCCAGTCCCATCCCAGACTTGCTGGCCACGTAGTGCGGGCGCTTGCCTGATTTCGTGGTGTGTGCAGAGGGCGTGGCGGGCCAGACATGTTTCCGGTGGTGGGCGGCCCCCGGGCAGCTTTGGCCACATGTACAACATCCATATCGAGCCCTCTGCTCGCCATTGCCAGCACAGCGCGGTCTTCGGTCGCAGGGATTGCATGCCTGTCTGTAGCCACATTATAAGAGCATATGCAAGCGAGTTCCGCTCATCATAAAAACGCCGCAGTCACAGCATAGTCTCTTCACTGGCAGATGGGCTCAGGTTGTGTACCATGTATCACAGCAGCTTTCAGTTTTTCCCCTACACCATCGGTGTGAGGATCCATCGGCGGCTGTCTCGTGGTTTTCAAGCCTTCCCGTTGGCGGCTGTCTCGTGGGTTTCAGCCCCCCTCCTGTTGGCGGGTCACTCGATCTGGCACATGGTGCGCTAGCAGCAGCGATCAGCAGACTTTCAGTGGCTTGCCAATGTACCAGCGGGCTGTTGCAAATCGCTTAGCCCCTCACTCTCGCTGCTTTGGTTGCCGGGCCAGTGCAGACGTAGCTTGTTGCAGAAAGGTCGAGAGGCCATGGCGGGGACTAGAGGCCTTTTGCCTCTCTCCATGGCAGACGAACGTGACTCACAAGGTTAGAGAGTGGACCCGGAATTACCATAGAGTAAAGGAGTAGGCTACGTAAGGGGACAGGCGTAAATGAACAAGACGAGCTCAGGTGTTCCTTTCCCGCCAAACGAGGTGTTTTGCACACCGAGCGGAGAAGAACATCGAGGTGCCAGCAGGCGGCAGGAAGCAATCAAAAGTAGCATGCAGGGTGGGCAGTGCGGCAGTGAAAACAAGGAAGCAAGTGGCATGCAGCAAAAATTCTCAGTGCAAAGGCAGTTCAGGGGCAAGGAAAGGCAGCACAAGACAGTGCAAGGCAGTTCAGGCAGGCACAAGATCAGCGCATCTCATTTAGCATGACACCACCGCCACGGGACCACGTAGTAGTTAGGTACGACAAGCATCACCCTCAGCATCACCAGGACGAGAAGTATCACCCACAGCATCACCAGGACGAGGCCACGACGAACACGATCGAGGGGGCATGGCATCAGCATCGCATATCGTTCTCACGTCGTCAGTCTCTGAACTTGTGCCCTCGTCACTCATGGTCTCTGGGCTGCGAGGCTCAGACTCGGAAGAGATCTCAACTGCCCTATGTTCGGCTCGTTGTTCGCGGAAGATTTGAGGTAATCTGAGTTGGGGCGGTTTTACTGGGACAGTCACGTCGGGCTCGTGGGGTTTAGGGTTCCCACGGACCTGAGGTGCAAACCCAAGGCTCCAGAGTTTGTCGAGTGTGTCTTGGTTAGGGGTTGTTTTTCTGAACAACTGAAACACACTCACGCTTATACGTTGCTGCTGCTCAGCGGATTTGTCGCGGCACAGGGCACCGCAATGAGGCATGTGAGCGTCCAACCAGAGTGGTCCGTTAACAAGGTCCACCTCGTTTGCCAGCCCAAAACGCGTCTTCAAACTCCTGAAAAGTCGTACCCCCTGATGCCGAAATCCAGAAAGGACTAGAGGCGCAACCTGACCCAGAAAACACCACGCTACTCCCTGAAGTTCCCAAGTCCCTATGAACCTGCCATTTCCCTCCCACTCTGACTGCGATGGAGCAGAACGACATGGTAGGGAAGTGTCTCCTGACAAACAGTGAAAGGAGGCTCGCCACCTGGGGCAGGTTCCTGGTGGACACAGTAACGTCACAGCTTGTGCGGGGCGAGAGGCCGAAAACTATGCAACCATGTGGCTTCGGTGCGGGCGACCAAAACTTAAGGGGGATCAGGTTGAGGAGAGGAGTGAGGTGTAGGGTTTTGGGGGCAACAGCACTGGTCGTAAGCTCACGCAAGAGGTCAGCAGCAAGCAACTCGGCAGCTTCAACTCCTGAGCTCGGCATGTGTTATCTTCTTGTGTGGTCCCGAGAAGACTCGCGAACCTTGTGAGCCAACACTGCTTGAGCCGTAGCCATATAGTAGTAGTAGTAGTAGTAGTAGTAGTAGTAGTAGTAGTAGTAGTAGTAGTAGTAGTAGTAGTCGTCGTCGTCGTCGTGGTGGTAGTAGTGGTAGCAGTGGTGGTGGTAGTAGTAGTAGTAGTAGTCGTCGTCGTCGACGTGGTAGTGGCAGCAGCAGCAGCAGCAGCAGCAGCAGGAGGAGGAGGAGGAGGAGGAGGAGTAGTAGTAGTAGTAGCAGGAGTAGTAGTAGTAGTAGTAGTAGTAGTAGCAGTAGTAGTTTGTTTTGGCTCCCACTTGGCACGGCTCTCGCCCCACATTGCAGGTTTACACAGTGGTGGTAGCAGTAGTCGACATCGTAGCAGTAATTGTAGCAGTGGTGGTGGGGTAGCAGTAATTAGTCATATTCAAAGCAGTAAAAATGCAAACTTTTATAAGGAACACTATTACTACTAAAAAGCCATAAGAAAAGATATAAACACTACAAGCAGCAGCACTACGCAGACCACTGACATGCCAAGCCATGTTCACCCCGAAGCGAAAAGCAGGTCCCTCTCGTTCTTGAAGTGGCGTTTCAGGGCCCAGCACTTTCCAGGCAAAGTCACGGCGCGGAGCACCTTTGATGACAACTGACTGAAATTTGCGTGCACCTGCAGCCACACTTTACATATCATATGAAACTAACGGATGGTGTTGGAGCTGGAGATAAGGCAACGACGTCATGCATGACAGTTGCACATGGGTGAGGATGACGAGAACTTGCACAGCGTGACCCTTGCAGTTGATCGGAAGGGACGTGGCCTGCCTGGGATCAGCAAAAAACTGAGACAGCTCTGAACAGCAACACCTAGCCAACGATGCCACACTTTTGATGGAATACAGGGGATCAGTGGTGACAACTGTGACCAGAGCCGTGCTGTATCCCTCAAGGGGAAGCCGAAAAGCTTCTGCTTTATCAAAGCAAGTATGAAGGCATTGCTAAAGATAGCGTTCATACCCATGAACATTCAGCATCCCGTCGCACCTATTGTGCTTCAGGATCTGCGAACATGTACATCTAGTTGCATTTTGTATGGTCGGGCTATGTCTTTGATGCTGATAGTGTTCTCGTCTTAGACAGCCCCAGGAATCAGCATCATGTACCCGAGATTCATTTTCCTATTATATACAAAACCGAAGCTTCAATCTTTTCTAGACCTGACTAAGCTTCCAAGATCGTGCATCACAAATCCTTCGATCTTGGTGTACGTCTCGGCTTCCCGTTGTCTAAACTTACAATCTGGATCTAGGCTTTTGGCTCCCGAATGGCATATCCGAAGACTCATTCGCAAGCTACTACCTGTCAGCGATTAGGGGATTTAGTGCGATGTTTATGTCTCTGGCACGCTTCGGTGCTCACACCCGGACCAGCCAGACAAGGTTATGTTATAGGATCTTGAATTGTGATCCAGCGCTTCGACTGACCCTGTCATGCAACGGGGCGACGCTATGGACGTGCAGAGCGTTGTACTAAGATCTTAGTCGAACGAGACTAGGCTTCCGCCGGATACAGCCTAACTGTCCCATGAAGGTTGGCAACATGAAAAATGTAAAGGGATCCAGTGGCAACTCCGATTAGTCCTGCTCGGCAAACGTGTTTTCCGAAAAGTAGTAACAGCGAATTAGACTTCGGCCGCAAGCCCAAACTTGTACTTGCTGGTATGTATTGCAGAGCTAGTGTTTCATGTTGCAGACCTGTAGCCATGCTCTAATGAAATTGAGTTCCACGGGAGTGTGCATGGACTTTTCTTTTGGTCTTGGCTAGATGTGCTGTTAGTCATGATCAAACTTCAGCTGCAGGCAACGCCAAAACCGCCTCACTGAAGTTCCTCTGAAGGGGGCATAGATGGCGTGGATTGCAATCGCCACACGATTCGGCCACTACCCCCGCTCCGCTCCCCTCTCACAGTCTCTGTCCATGCTCTAACTTGCTCTTGCCCCTCCGAATTCAGGACAACGAAGTAACAAAGGCTCTAACGTTGCCCTCACCCCCCCGCCTAATTTGCCCACGACTACACTCTCTGCAGCACGATGTTGTTCAAGGGCAGGGGTATGTACATAGTACATAGGTACATGTATACATATATATTTGTGTGTATATATGTGTGTGTATGTATGCGTGCATATACACTCACATGCATACATACATACACATCTGTATACAGATGTACGTATGTATATGTACATATATATATATATATACATATATGTATATATGTATATATATATATATATATTTACACATGCATCTAATCAGCAGCAAGGGAGGAAATTGCTACAAAGGCAAAGTTGCAAAGGCCTGCGGTCCAGAGAGACTGCTGGGCAGCAAACAAGCTTCCCAATGGGTCCGGGGGGGGAGGGGCGGCGTAATGTTGCAGCCAGGTTGTGGTCGTCTCGCATGTGTTGGAAGGGTTGAGCGGGTTAAGGGGGTGGCTGGCCCTGGCGGTGCTCATGGTGCCTGCGGCATGTCTGCAAAACACATACATAGACAGACAAACACACATAGATAAATACATGCGTGCGTGCATGCGCATACACACTCACATATAACAACAAGAAATAAACACATACTCAAGTGTCGAGCATAATTATCCGCGCCAGCAAACGCAAAATGCCAAATAATTTCACGGACGTGTCTCGAGAGACATCCTGGAGGATGCGCATACTCTAAGCTCCCAAACAGCCATTTTTCAGCGAAGTCAAGATCTCAACAACACAGTGTCGGCAAGGTGCGCCACCATTGGCCTGCGTCTCGACCTGTGCCTGAACGAACAGGCTGGCAGCTTCGTCCAATTGACGATCCTCGCAGGCAAATGCAAGCGAGACCATCCCCCTCAAAGCATACCTGCTACGGCGACGGTCACGCGAATGACAGTGTCATGGAATCCTCGACGCCGGATAAGTGTCCTGTTACACATGGCCGTGCGCGGAACGCTGCTGTCGGTGCTTGTGTCAGCGTGTCTTGTCAACAAAAACATCAGAAGCCCGTGGCATGATCAGACCAAACTTAGACACCGGGAATGATTTGCTATCCTACGTTCGCCTACAGCTCACAAAGCTCACAGGTGTGAGGCTTTTCTCGTGCCGTTAGTGCCTAACGAACATCACCAAGACGAATCCCGTAGCGGCAGGGTCCAGGCTGGCAGCACGAAGGACCGGAATGCTACAGCTGCCGGTGCCCTCTGCCAAGATGAGCTCGACTCTTGGATCCGTGCCTACATGGGAGGGTGAAGGCTCTGACTGGGAAGTGAAGATTGGCTGAGCCGAATATTCTTGTTAAGTAGTCGCTTGGAGAAGTTAAAGCCTTCTAGCTCCACACCCCGACAGTGGCCAGAGACAGCCCAGAGTCAACCTGACTTGCTTTCAGGAACATGGCGTGTGGGGACTGATGTAGATTGAAATCACATAATTAAACAGAGATGAGTATAGTGAAAACCTACCTCGTACGTTGTGGATTTCAGGCTGTATTGCAGGCTGTCAGGTTTTGTATACCCATGTAATTCAGATGTCAAAGTAGGTGCGTGCAAGAATATGCGCCGACGAAGGGGGAGAGCGAGAGAGAAAGAGAGAGCGGGCGGAGGGCAGGGAGAGGCAGAGCAGAAAAGGGAAGGAGAATTGGAAGGAAGCGGGCAGAGGACCTTAACCACGGGGAGAGCGACGGAGATGTGCGGCCAAGGCGGAGAAGGATAGGGTGAGAGGAAAAGACGAGAACGAGAGAGAGAGAGAGAGAGCGAGAGCGAGAGAGCGAGAGAGAGAGAGAGAGAGAGAGAGATAGAGAGAGAGAGAGAGAGAGAGAGAGAGAGAGAGAGAGAGAGAGAGGGAGAGAGAGGGAGGGAGGGAGGGAGGGAGGGAGGGACAGGGAGGGAGGGTCCAAGAGATAATGCCAAACTGGCCCAGTCACTTGGCGCTTCCCAGGTTTCCGCAGCATCAAGGTACATGCAAGCGTTCACAGGGTCTGTTGCCGGGGCAGACGAATTCCTGGCCACACTTTGCTCTAGCCACCCTGTATGCAGAAGATAAATTTTGACGCTCACACTCGGCAACACCAGGCGAACTCTGAAGAGAGACTGAAGTTGAATGGTCCAGTTAGGCATTACCACAAATGAGATTAAGGGTTGACTCTTCAGGTTCTGGAGTAGCTCTTCCGACTGGGAAAGTTTGCCGTGCGAACAGGCCAATTACCCGACAGCCCAATTCACCACACGTCTTCACGCGATGTTTCACTATGTTTCACTCACAACCGTCAGGCTGCGATGGCATGCAAGTCACGCTCTCGGATAAGGCTATAGAGCTCTAATTCGATGCTATGGTCTCACTGACGCTCCAACCAAGCTTTCTCAGCCTCGACATGCAATGCCCCGGGCCCGGCTCCGAGAGAGAGAGAGAGACAACACAAAACAATGAGAGGCGAAGACAAATTTCATATCAAAGCAGTGCGGCACGAAACCTTCCAACAGTCACCACACCGACTTAAAACAGAAGGATGGATGAACACCAAGATCAGCGAAACTGTGTCTGCAGCCATGGATCCACTCCACTGCTACTCGGCTTTTCTGGGACAGCTCCACGGGGGCAGCAGCAGGGGTCTGGTCGACCTCCAAGTAATGAAATGCCAGCATGCAAATCTCACCCAGCAAGGACTTCATAAAGATCAGAAGTCGTGTCTGCCACGCTTCTCGGCTCGCAAAGGGTTCCAACGGCTTCAGCCAACTGCTTCTCTTGAAACCCAACCTGCTTAGCAGTGTCGGCCAGCGCAGAGGTCTTCGTTGGAGCTCTTGCCACCTTTGACGTTCTTACAGCTGCTTCTGCGGGACCGCTCTTCTCTTTCTGATATGGGTTTTCCAACTCTTGGTTGAGCTGAACCGTTGCCATGGCATTCCTGATCCATAGGATGTGCTGACATAGGGAAATGACACTTCAGATGAGTCACATGTTGGCTGTTGGGAGAGATCGCAGGCTTAGTTTTTGGGGATCCCAAATTGAATCCGCGGTGCTTTTCCACGGAAGCTACAGCAGCCTCCCGCCGGCCCCACCGACTCCACCTCGGGTGGAGCCGCGCTTTCCTCAGTACAATGCGAATCCTACAAAATGCCACGGCGCAATGCCTTCGTACAGGTCAAGCCGACACTCATGCCCGATGAATTGGATGCGATTCAAGTTCATTCGTGCCTTGGCTGCACTCGTTGCCATCAGCCATCACCATCCGTTCTCCTAATTCTTCCCTCTCTTTCCGTCGCCAAACCCCTCGCGGTGGACGTTTGCCCCCGCTTTTGTGCGGGGAATCTAGAAGAACACTTTCGGTGCAGTCAACAGCCTCGACTGACTCAGAACAGGCAATCGCTGCCGGCAGCGCTTCAGGTCGCTGTCACTCTGGAGAAATTCTGTCGGCCAATGTCGGAGCTTGGAGAGGGTCCTCTCGCAACGACGGAGGTCCGATAGGCAAGAGTCGCGCAGAGGCGAAATACCTCCAACCATGCAACAGTTCCCTGTCAGTCAAGCTTAATAAACTCCAAGATTCCATTGGCATATGGAAGATCTCCGCCTCAATGTCCGCCAAGCTCACCTCAGCAACTCGACATTGCGAATCTGCACTTGCTGCACTCTTACCCAGCTCCAGCGTAGCCGATGCTGCATCTGATCTACAACCTGGGCTGAGCGGCAGGTCTCAGACCGACGACATAGCTCGCACGCCTGCGGAAGGTTGCCAACTTCTCCTCGGAATGTGCACATGAAGAATTTGTACGTAGGCATGTATATATTATTTATATGTATGTGTGTGTGCATGTGTGTGTATATATATATATATATATGTGTGTACATACGTCTGTTGAGTTTGCATAAGCAAACATACATTTCTTATAGATAATATATATATATATATATATATATATATATACATATATACATATACATATACATATACATATACATATACATATACACACACATATACGTGTATATATATTATTTTATGTATATCGGTGTCATACTGTCAAGCGCCCCTCCACGTCCTGGGCTTCCCAGCCTCTTCAACGACGTGACAAGGGTTTCTGTTACACACGAATTTGTGGCAGACAGGGGATTCCGTTGGACAGACAAGGGGCAAACGGTTTAACCGACAGGTTCTCATCTCAAAATGGCTTGGCTTGGTTTCTCTCTGCTTGCTTGGGGTGCATAGTGCAAAAAAACCAGGTGTTGCCAAAACCCAGTGCACGGCATTCAGCACGCAAGTAACCAACCCAGATGCCCAGCGTAGTCACTGCAAAGCCAAGGCCGCGTCCTCGGAGTCGGGAGCGTTGAGAACGAGTAGGCCATGCAGGAGGAGGCAGTGGTACACGTTGCACCAGAAAGCCTTGAGCTCCGCCTGGCTCCTGAATCTGCCGGGTTCCGGGTGCAGGAAGCCTTGAAAACTCCTGTAAGAAATGGCTTCTGGCTATCTATCTAGAATTAAGATATGGAGAGAGAGAGAGAGAGAGAGAGAGAGAGAGAGAGAGAGAGAGAGAGAGAGAGAGAGAGAGAGAGAGATCTATCGCCCTCGGTGTCGCGAGATGTAGCTAAAGGAGTGCGGCTGTGGACGAGGGCTTTGGTAAGCCTGTACACTGTATACGACTGTATACTCTCACTCTCACAATTTCCAGGCACGGCTTCTCAGGTCAGTTCTCGAAATTCTGGTTTAAGTCTAACTCAAGGGCATGAGAGATGCTGAAGGGGTGGAATGATTCTCCGAGCAGGGAAGCTTCCTGTAGTTCGACCCCAATTGGCCCAACATGCGGCCGCAATCAGAAGCCGGAATGCTAACTGCAGTTTTGCCTGCTACATGTACCCAGTGACTGCCTCACATGAGGTACTCAGACTCACAACAAGATACAGTGCGGCTTAAGACCGAACCCAAAACCGTGAACCTGCAGATTAAGCACAGGACTCCAGCTAAGTAAGCCTGCAGTCTACTATGATGGGCTGGGCTAGGAAAGGTGTATCCGCCACCACACCACCACACACGGAAGAAGTGAGAAGTTTCCCACCGAGGTGCCAAAGGTTGAACCTGACGGCCTTGAGCATGCACGCGCTGTCCAGGTAAGCCGCCAGACTAGTTTGTGAGGGCTCCGAACCCAAAGCCAAAGCCTTGGAATCTCAGCTGACGCTCAGGATGGAAATCTAAGCAAACTTTACAGCTGCGTGACGAAAGTTGCTGCATACGACAGCCTCATGCAGGCAATCCGGCCTAGTGAAGGACATGCATACCATGCCATGACTTCTATGTGCGGCCACAATAAACCACAGAATGAACTTAAGCGCATGAGACAATGTTCTTTAGTGTGGACCGTCAGGTCCTGTCCTGTAGATGCTGCATTTTGCGTGTCCGTGCGTTCGGGGCGCCAGCTCAAGCAAGTGTGCTGCCGCATCTGCAGTGAGAGGCTCTGCGGCCGCGCTTGTCAGCAGCCGATCGTTCCTGGTTCTAAACGAAAGGCTGCTTTAGGCGGTTTGCAGGAGCCATGAGCTGAGGCAAGAGAGATGGCACACCAGCTGGAGAGTTCTTTGCATGGTGCGAAGACTAGTCACTTTTCCGCTCAGCCGTAGGCTTGAACTCAAGGGGCCCCTGCGGTCAAGGGGTTGTCTCAAGCTGTACAAACTCTAGGTACACACACTGTACGCGCTGCAAAACAGGTTGATTTCACACCCGTGACTCTTACAGCGTCAGTGTGGTGAGACTTCGTGCTTAGGGATCAACGGTCTTGCTCGTTGTCCTCTTCTCTCTTCGTCGACCTCCTCTGAAGCTGCTTGGCGCGCTTCTTCACTACACTCTCGAGCGGCTGCTCTACGTCGAGTGTGTTGGTCTTCAGAGCTTCGACCAACTTGACCGGCTCCATGACCTTCGTCAACGGAGCAGCGATCATCACGTCAGTGTCAATCCATCTAACGATGTCAGTTAACTGATCATCCACTGGCTTGTAGTCGTCGTAAAACGGATCTCCTGCTTTCTCGCCAGCTTTGCGCCATAGCTCCTGTCTGAGAGACGCGATCTCGATGCTCAATCTCTTGTCCGAATGCTTATTGCATTTCGGATTCGAAAGCGTCAGCTCCAGACTCTTGCAGTCTGTCATCCAGATCTGTTTCACAAACTTGGCCGACGTAGCCTCCCACCTTTTCATATCGAGGCATCCGAAGATGTCAGTGACAGCTGCCCTCAGCACGTCACCGTCCTCCACACCTGCCTGAAGTGTGTAGGCCTCTGCCTGTATGGTGGAGCGACATACCCTCCGAACGAGGTTGCTCGCCCACAAGATGGGATGAATGCTACCTTTGTTCCCTTTCCACAGGGCGCCGTCTGTAAGAAACACCATCCTTGCACCTTGGCTCCGGTGTCCTTCCACAGATGTCATCTCATTTATGATCATCTCTTCGGACTCATTCGCGTGAGAAGCGTCCGTGATCACCAGACTCAAAAGAGCACCTGGTGTCTTCCAGTCCAGCAGCCCAGACTTGAAAACAAGTCCTCTGTCGTATGTGCTAATAGCGTACTCGACCGCTTTGTTGGCATCTCTGATGTCAGCGACGGTACCATTGCTAGAAGCCGACTGGATCTTGGATACCCTATAGCTTAAGTCGGGTCGGCATTGTCTGCAAACCCAAGCAAGGGAACCAGCGACGCTCTTCATCTGCGTCTTGTCAGAGTCCGTTAAGGGATCTCCCGGGTGCCTCCTCTTGTCGACGTGAATCTTGTTCACGTTCCTCGTTTTGTCTCGCTGCAGGTCACATGGATATTGAAATCCTCGTCTTGGCTTATCTCCTTCCCGCAGTACCTGAAGCTCCCGGTCTCAACCTTCCCACATTTGAACGTCTCAATGAGATCGTTCATGATCCAATCGCATGACGGATCACAAGCCCACAATAGATCGTCTACGTGGGACGTCAAGAGCAACTGTACAACCCCATCGGCGTCGGTGTAACTGTACAACGCGCGGTAGATGCGGTTCTCGCGAAGTCCTTTACCCTTAAGGTAATTCCTAAGCCGCTTCCAAAACCGTCTACCTCCATCAGTGCTGCCGTAGATGGGTGCTCTCGCCAGCATGTGCTGGTGGGGCCTGAGCCCAGGGAGTCCTCCCTTGGGCTGAGATAGTAGAAGTACTCTATCTATCTCTTCGCCTTGAAAGTAGGCGTTGGTCACGTCCAGGGACTTAATCTTGACCTTCCTAGAAGAAGCAAACGAAAACACTAAGTTCTGAGCTTCTATGCTAGCAGTAGGGCTATCACTCCTAGGATCACCCTTCTCAAGATCACCCCGAACAACCAATCTACTCTTGTAGTTGGCCTCCACGGTAGGATCAAGTAACCTCTTGTTGTGGTTCTTGTCCAGTTCTACCCATTGGGTAGGTATGACTTGATGTCCTTCACGGATCAACTCATCATACTGAGCGTCATCAAGAATGATCGCGGCACTGAAGTCCTGCCACTTTGCCCACTCCTTCGCTCTACTCTTGTCCAACTCCTTTTGGACATCCTCAGGGCATTTGTGGTACATTAGGATCTTCCCGTGCTTCTCCTTCTGCTTCTTGGACGTAAAGTTCTTGCGGCGCTTGCGCCACTGCGTCACCTTCTTGTCGTCTTCGACGCGGTCTGCGAAGAAAACCCGTAAGGCCTCGTACTCCTTCTCCCCGGGGAGTGAGTTCCAAACGGTTCTTTCCTCTTTCGTCCAGAAGTGGCTAGCGTAAGCCCTCAAAAGGAGCGCTGAGCTGCCTTCCGTGGCCTCGGCCTCACCATCGGCGTCCACCGCCGTGTCCTCAGCCATCGGCTCTTGGATCCCTCCTGGAGGGTCCACCTGTTCGTTCTCTGGCTCCTCCACAGTCACGGCCCGTGACTCTTCACGTGTTGCTCCAACTCTCCTTCGAACAGCTCGTTCTGGAGCAGCGGCCGCAGTCTCCGGAGGATCTGCTTCAGCGTCCATTTGGATCGGAGTACCTATCCCAATTCCTCCGTCCGGTGGTTCTTCTGGGTCGTCTAACAATAGATCATCCCCGGTGGCATCAATGTACCTTTGCTGCTCGCGTTCAACCTCCGCGTGCTCGTACTGTATGTTGCCACGGTTCAACACTTGGAACACCAAAACCTCAGCCGATGTACACGGTCTGAGTCGCGCCAAGCTGGTCGCCACAGGCACGCCCTGATGCACCACCCAGACCGTTTTGTTATCGAAGCCAATTATTTTACTAACAGTTGACCACGTACTCACGCCTGAATGCTCATCTCGCGCGATCCTATAGCAAACTAGGTCGCCAGCTTGATATTTCCCCGGCAGGGGAGCCGCCTTGCGTAACACGGTCTTTCGCACCCTGCGACTGCAATCCTCATGGACGAACGCCTTTCTTGCAGTATGGCGGAATTCGGCCTGACGGCCGAACGCAGTCGTGGCATCTAACCTGCCCGACAAGACTCCAAGCTGTCCTAGCTCTTCCTCGTCCAAAACGTGGCCCACTCCTCTGGGCAGGCGTCCAAGCACCCACTGGGTGGGGCTGAAGCCTCCAACACGCATGATCTCGTTCTTTGCGACCTGTGCCTCGAGCATCGCCACCTTGACATCATCTTTGCCCACAACGTTGTGGTCCTTGACCAAACGCTTAAAGGCTCGCTTTATGATGCCTCCATGCCTTTCGCACTTCCCTATGTGCTCTGGCGATTCCAGTCCGGCTTGGCGGATCTGGACTCCATGGCTACCCAAGCCGTGAGCGAAAGCGCCCCGGTTGTGTAGGCCACGGTCGTGGGAAACCACTTTTGGCCACCCAAAAGGGGAAACCCAGTGCTGCATGAACTTCTGCAGGCACTTGGCTGAGCTCGGCTGTCCGCCACCAACGCGGACTAAGGTCACAACTTGATAGCTTGTGCCGACATCTATAATGTTCAGCCAGCTAAACTTTGCGCCTGTTGAGTCTGCAGTCTCCAGCACGTCCACCGAAACTGTGTGGTTGAACTCGTAAGGTGGTGGAGCTGACACAGGGTGTGTGCGAACCTTCTCTTCGCTAACCCTGCAAGACTCACACTTGAAGATCTTAGCTGCATTCACCAACTCTTCAGAAGCACCTGCCCCACGGAGTACCTGCACTAGCACCTCCTTAGGCTTGTGGTTCATCATGGTGTGCAACCTCCTGATCCCCAAGCGAACACGCCGTGGTACCTTAGACCATGCCTTTCTCCTCTCAGACTCTTCTTTCGGAAACCCTGCTAAAGGCAACGTGTCTAAGATGTCTGCTTCCTCGGCGAGTTCCAGATCATCCATGAAAGTGGTCCTATTATCTCTGGGATCCACTATAGCATCTAGAGTACCAGATTCCTCGACTTCATCCTGCCTTGCCTCTACAGGAAACGCTTCAGCAACGTGGTCCTCTACACAGCCCTCTTGCAACACAAGCAACAAGGTTTCGGCAAAACCAACTTGCGTGCCTACTGTGTCGATGCTCACAGGTGAGTAGTGTATGTCATGGTCACAGTTCGCCCAACTAGACATGACTTCACCTATCGCCTGCGAAAACGTCCCTACACACAGGTCACCCCTACACTGAAACAGCTGAAACTCTCTCTCAGTACCCTCGACACTGTTCTCAAACCACAGGTTCCACCTAACACTGCCTAAACTGTCAAGAACAAGCACTTCTTTTGTGTACGCGGAGAGGGACTGGAGCCAGGTTTGTACCTGCGGGGTGAGACCTACCTGGTCTTCCAAACTGTACACCAACAGCAGAAGGTCGGGACGGATCTTAGCAATCTCTTTAGAGATTTGCTTCTGCCAACCGATGTCCTCCAGAAGGATCATACGGTAGCCAGGGTGTCGCACGATCACCTTGGCGCCGGTCCTCTCAAGGGATCCGGGCTGGAACTCCGAGTTCGCCAGGGCGTAGATCGTGGGCGGCTCGCCCGTGATCGCCACCGACGGGAGCCCCAAGGCCTGCATCAGCAGGTCGTCGTGCGTGTTGAGGTTCTTGCAAGAATCCTCAAACATCTTTCCGGTCTCCTTCTTCATCACTTTCAGGTCGGAAGCCATGAGATCCGGAAGCATGCCTCCAACGTAG